CCAGACTGGAGAAGGAAGTTGATAGTCCACACAGGTGAAAACCCTGCAGCATGGGGTCATACGGTCAGATTTGCACTGGATAAAGAAATGATGGTGTGGAGTTCCCCTAAGACAGCACTGGTTGGAGAAGTAAGGTCCACATGGTGAATCCCATACCATGAGAAGGTAGAGTGTAAGTTTGGAAGCTGTGTTTGTAGTACTTGAGCCAATTAGTTCTGCCTGTCATCCAGATTTCTTATTTTTGGTTCAGCCTTATGCTAGGAATCTTCCTCTCCCCAAATTAGCTTAGTGTCATCACCACACTCCCTTGTGAGGAGCAGGCCTGCTCGTCCAAGCTGTGTTTCTAATAATGAAAAAGAATATTGCTCTTTATTTAGCCATGCTTTCAGAAGATTGGTCTGATAACATTAGTGGCAATCACAAAATAAAAGACTACAATGTTGGACATTATAAAATAGTTGCAGTGTTGTCAGTGGACAGAAAAAAATTACTTGGTTCCATCCTAGGAGATATTTTCAAATTAGAAATGTGATATATATTTATTTAAGTCTCTAATGACGTTTTTATCTAGTCTTCACAGGGTTGTTATCTTTGTGGGAAAGGAATGGAGCAAATGGGATTCTGCTCTGCAGAATGATTGTAAGTGTCATGCTGGATTGGACAGCATCTCTGGGTTATTGAGTCTAGTCACCTACTCTTAAAAACAACCACATGAGATAACTGTGAAAGAACCGCTCATACTTAATGACTGCACATCACTTATTTTTCTTCTTGTCTATGATGGCCTACAGAACCAAATGGGGTGGAATAAAAAGAATCAAAAATGATGTTAATAAAATGAACGGTTCTCAATGGTAGAGAAAATGAGCAAACGCGTTTGGTACAAACATCTCGTCATAGTTGCTGCTGAATGAGTTTTGCTGAAACTTAAATTGAAACATCCATGCCTTTTTTCAAGTGGTGGCCAATATCACCCTTCTGACCAAGCTATTTAATGTATTGTCTGATGGATGCTGAGGAACTTCGATGCTCTTAAAAATTTGTGAGAGTTGCTTTCATGGCAGAACTTGCTTTTCAGCAAGTTGATTTTTTTCCCCCCCTTTTTTTTTTTCATATGTTGAACTGATGATTCACTGAGTCTTCCTAAGCTCTTAAATTTGTGGAATTTAGTTTCCATATATCTGTAACATACTGTGTTGTAACATGCCAGATGGAGAAGCGCTTTGAATGGAGAAGGGTATTATTGGTGGACTTAACTCCATCTCTCCTTAACTTCCTGCTTCATTATAATTTTTGCAATCTGAAGATCACTGTAGTTAATCTTCGAGTAGGTTAGTGTTGTAGGCCTACCGTTTGTGGGGTCGTGCTTTTATTTCATTTGTGTATGGTTGTGTTTATGCACATTAGATTACACTGTACTGCTAACGTATTACTAAATGCTGTACTATTTTTCTTTGCCCCCTCCTCTCTTGATTGCCATAACTTAAAGTTTATGGTATATGTACAAATATTTTTAGGATGCTAATTTATTGTGTAAAAGGGTATTTTCTTGTCAGACACTAGCTTGTGAGAAGCCGAATTGTGTCTTGCTGTTGCTCTAACTTCCTGTGGGTTTTTACATAGTAAAACCAACTTGCTTTGTCTTTGGTAAAAACTACTACTTCTGGGCCTTCATTTACAAAATAAGACACTTAAAACAAAAAGGAACATAGGATCTTATGGACAGAGATCCTAAAGAGAACATGTACAAATTGCTAAGGGTAGTTGCCTGCAGTGGCAGACAATTTGATTACAAAATACTGCTAACAAACTCATTAAATTCCATCTCAAAAATTGTTATATTATTTTCCCTATTGTTCCTGTTGGGTAGCTGTTCTGAATATTATTCTCTGATGTGATTCCATTTTCCATTGTAAATCACTTCTGTAGTCTTTTTTTTTTTTTTTTACTTTGAATGCATGCTTTCCATTTGACAAAAATTGTGGAAATCTTTTGAATCTCAGAAGTGTTTAGCTTAAAGCTTTCTCAGATAGAAGGATAAAGTCTGTTGGTAGTGGCAAATTCTGCAATACTGATTCTCAAATTTTTGTCCAGTGTGTATTAATGATAAACAGTCTAATTTTGAGATGTGTGTGCAAGCCTGAAAGTACAATCGTTTGTTTTCTTCCTGCTTTCCAACATTTTCTTTCCACATAATAATTTTTGTCCCAAGAGATGGTCCATTTTTTTAAACATATTGTCTAAACCTAGAAACTAGCTGTGCATAAAAAATGCAATTCTCTTAGGATTAGTGGTAAAACAACAATGAACTTTATATAGCCTGTCTGGGGCATATAAAAAAAAAAACTGGTTTTGAGGAGAGAAAAATACTATATATGAAACAAACAAAAAAGATATTTTATTGTACATTGTCAGGGTTTTCATATATCTCTAATTCCTGTTATGAAAGATGAATACATCAGCTAGAAGCCCTCTGTTAGTGGCCGTGTCCACAATTTAAAGCAAATAAGAAATAGGCCACCTGCATAATCTTTGTTCTATTCTAATTTTAACTTTAGTACTAGATTTGGAAGATACTTTGAGGGAATAGCAGGTTTCCATTACGATGTGTTTTGGTTATTCCCTAACTATTCCTAACTGCAGAATGAATTGTTTGACAACTACTGGCCAACAACAGTGCTTTTGAAACACAGCTCAGGCTCTGTTGGAGCACATTTTTGTGTCTTTCTTGACCAGCAGCTGCGGAGTTAGACTGCTAAACTGTCATGTGGGACCTCTGAGATTCATCTTTTGCCTGAAATTACTTGTGCCCATACTGCCTGTTTGTCAGGAAAGGAAGTATCTGAGCATCAGTTATCCAAGGCTGGAAAGTGCCCTGCTCACCTTTTGATGCTGTTCTGGTTTTTTGATAGCTAATACATGAGCATTTACTAGAGTCTGACTGAAACCTGGTTGCATGCTCTTACTATACTAGTAAGGTATTGATTTTACTGACTTGCTGCCTGATTTTATAATTGTGTAAGTGTTCTATAAGAAACAGAACAATTTCAACAGGGAAGACTGGTAAATGAGCCAAGTGTTTTCTATCTTTGCTTTCCTTCCTTTCAGTTTCATTCTTTTTCTCACTTCCAGCTTCTTTTCATTCTATTCCCCATCCTCTTCCCATTTATATTTCTTTTCTCTGGTTCATTCTGTCCCCAGATTCCCTCCTTGCATTATACTACTCTTCATTTTCTGACATCCCATTAATCTTCCAGTCTTTATGGCTTACTTTCCCACCTCCACCAGCACACCCACAGGATACTTAGAAATTTTACAGCATACCCAGTTGTCAAAAACTAAACCTACAAGTCCCAGACCCATAATACTATGCTGGGAATGCTCATTAACTCCCACACTGTTTGGAAAAAGAAACTGGTACAGTTAGTATAAGGTCTGCAAACCGTAATACATGCCTTATATTCCTTTGCTTTCCACTAAACCTGGAAACTCCTTGTTGGAGTTCGGGAAGGAGATGGAACCTGGCTTTTTTGCTTCAGCTATGGTTCTGATCTTTGCAGAAACCGTAGAAAGAGTGACATGAATGTGTAGTTACAGGGCTGTGACCTCTGAAACATTAGGTTTGAGGAGAATGCGCTGTTCAATGGATCAGAAAACCTGTTGCAGTAGATGGATGTACCAGCAAGTGGATCCTCAGCACATCATAGCTTTACTGCTGTGGTATCAATGCAAGTTCCCCACACCTGAGAGTCAGATTCATTTGACTCAAGAATGTCTGGCTAAGAAAACTGTGACCTGGGGAAGATGATGCAGAGTTGCATTGGTCCTGCAGTAGACCCTTTTAATGTTAGCGACGGCTGCTGCTGCAGCCACCAGCAGGCAGAGTGCAATGGGGTAGGGTCTCACGGCCAGAGGAGGGTCGAAGTTGGGTTTCTAGTGGGACATTGCCTGTGGTCTCAGATGCTTCTGTCCAGTCTGGGTGCCAGATTTCTGCCAGACCATGTTCTTTACTGCTGGCAGAAGTCACTGAGAAAAATGACAGAAGACTGCATCTCTAATGTGTGTATGATCAACTGATCGCCCCCTCCACTAATTGCCTGTGAATGCTAAATAAAAAAGCAGTATTCAGTGTATGGATGACAGTGCTTAGTTTCCAAAGGCAGTAATTTGAGGCTTTTCTGTTGCTAAATAGCACCCATGCCAGTGTTTAGTGTTGCTCAGTGGAATTATCATCAGATTTAATCTTAATCAAAGGTCTCTTAAACAACGGACCTGCATAGTTATTGGATAGTTTTCAGTCTCCTGTATTTTGGAAGAGCTCTGAAGGATACAGAGACACTTGAGTTTGTTCTTGTTTTTTTTTTTTTTGCAGGCTTTGGAAATGATTACCATGTTGCTTTGCACTCTTAATTCTGCTGTGAGGAAGATTAAATTAATTGTCAGCGTTAGAAATAGATACGTAGAAATACAATCTTAAATTCTGCAGTAGTCAGTAGTAGGGGCTTGACCTGCTTGCGTCTGCTTGTCTTTGGTTAGTATTTTTTTTTAAGCCTGTATCACATTTAATTAACTGTGTAGCACTGAAATGACAGTACTGTAACAGATACCATGTGTTAAAACAATATTACTAGCTACACCATAGCTGAATATAGCTGTACTGTAACTAACCTCGGAATTATTGTATCAATCACTGCTAACCCACCCAAGGTTAGATATTGCCAGCAGTGCTTCCAGTTCCTTTTTTCCATTCTTATTCAGAGGATAGCACCAAAGGTAGCTAAGCAAAGCCTTGCTAAGCAATCAAAGGAAATCAGTCCTCTTCTTTACCCTCTGTTCTCTGTTATGCAGTAAGGATGCCAGTTATTTAATGTTAAATTAAATGAATTAGCAGACTGAACTTTAAAGATGAACTTGCACAGTAAAATGATGCCTCATCATGGATAAAAAAAGCCCTATAGTATGGTTAAAGATAATAATTATTTTTGAAAATCTTTTTCTAGAATCCTACTCAAGTGGGAACTGCTCTTCAGGTTTTCCATAACCTTGGGACTTTGAAGGATACCATTGCTAATGTGGTGGACGGATACTGCACAGTCCTGGAGGAGAACATAAAAAATGCTTTGGATATCAAAGTATTGACCCAACCATCTCAAACTCTTACAAGAGGTATGATACTTGTTTTACAGAGAGTGATAACTGATTTTTTTGACAGAAGTACAGTATGTTGTCAAATGGAAAAAACTCTCACATCCAAGCCTGCTATAGGAATGTTTCCCTGTTTGTTTTAACCAGTAGAGGATGGGAGTAGGCATGTCTCGGAAATCACCTAATACAAAGCCAAAATTGGGTCTGTCTGTTGTTACTGGGCTCAGAAGTTTTCCTTTGTTCCCTACGCCACCTTTTTTCTGACTTGCCCAGAAGATCATCGTCATTAGTTTACAACTTTGCAGCATTTTCATAGCAGCTTGTCATGGAAAGATGAATCTACATTCTGCTTTCTTTGTGTTGGTGGGAGGATCACAGGTAGAAATTATTTGCAAGCAATGGAACAAGCCTGAAACTACATTGTAATGCTTTGGTCGGATGGTAATAATTTCAAAGCAGTATATTCAATATGAAGGAATGTTGCACTATTAAATATTTAGTTCCCACATGTATCAGATACCAAAGAATACTGAGGAATTGGGCAGGCAGGCAAATTTGAACTTCAGCAATCTGAACATTTAAAACTTTTTTTAAAAAACTTTTGCAGCAAGGTGCGGGTCCAAGACCATAATCAGTAGCATAATAAATACAGCCTCTCTCAAGGAAAGTGATGGTTTAGAAGCTGCATGCCCTTCAGCTGGAATATCACTTTTTCTAGCAGTTCGCCTATGCATTTAAGTCCTGAGCTGGTAATACCTGTATTTTTCACTGCTACTGTGTCTGCCGTTTCACTTTGCTGTTACATCCTGCAGCAGCACTCATTGGCATTACCTTGGTGTTTCTGTGGAGGCCTGAATTCGTAAACAGATGAGCACTGAAGTACCCCCACTGAACTTCAGAGTTGAGTTGACTTCTCAGTTGAGACAACTGAGGCGATTCACAAAGCTGTTTTGAAGTTATTTTAGGCTACTTTGATTTAAAAAAAAATTCTTATGTCAGTGCATAGAGATCTGTATTTCTGATATTTTAGTTTTCACATGTGAAAGCTGAAATGTGCTGCTGTGTGTTTTTAAAATCCATTTAGGTGGCCCTGGTAGAGCTGCTATGCCAACACCTGGAAACACAGCAGCTTTTCGAGCAGCCCTCTGGACAAACATGGAGAAACTCATGGATCAGATCTGCGCTGCCTGTGGACAGGTACTCAGCAGCTAATTCCTGTTTGCCTAGTCATGCAATTTTGCATAAGATACTACATGTCACTTTTCCTCTCAATAAATTCTTTCTTATAGGTGCAGCATTTGCAGAAAGTATTGACAAAGAAAAGAGATCCTGTGTCACATGTCTGCTTCATAGAGGAAATAGTAAAGGTAAAGTTTTAATTTAGCTGAATGTTTTAGTAATTCTGTTAAGGAAAATGTGATAAGGGAATGCTTTTGTTTACAATTTTACAGTTCAATAAAAATTTTGTCATTAAATTAATGGGAAAGTGTTGAAAGTCAGACTAACATTGAAAGTTACATTTATGGTCTGTGGGTTACATCTCTATAAACATATTCTTTTTATAATAATTTGTTTTCTTTAAAGGGAGCTGATAAGGCACCACTGTCAGTTTTTATTACTGATCATTAATGTCATTCCATAAAATACCATGTGATTTGAGTAATTAATTAAGTCTGTTAGTTTGCATAGGAAAATGTGTCTTCATCTAACACTTTCAACCATCTGTTTCTCTACTTCTTGGCAAATTATTCCTTGAAAAATAATCATGGCTGTTCTTTTGAATACCTGTTCTTTTCCATTCAGTTGCATTGTTTTCTATCCATATTTGGAATAATTTGATTAATGGTCTCCTTCAGTGTTAGGAACAGAATTACTGAAGTTATCTCATCTACCGTAGTAGATGAGAAGAAACAAAAACAAAAGATGTGTTTATGCAGACATCTCCTTTTCCAAGTATATGGCTGGATTTTTAATTTACATGAATTTAATTTTTGAACTGTGTTGGGGAAGCTCTTCATATGCAAATGTGGTCTTCTCAACAGTGAAAGCAAATAATGAAGGTTAAATACAGCATTTAAGTTTATCTGTGTATTAAGCCCATCTCCAAAAGATGTTGCATAGAACATCACTTTTCTATGAGGCACTTCAAGCTTCAAGAGAAGCTTGTAAAAAAAAACCCAACCAAACATAAAACACCTCAGAAAGTTTTTAAACTTCTAGCATATTTTCTTCCTTAAAAACTTTGATCTGGCAAAAACTATCTATTGCTGCCTGGGTGGAGCCCTTCAGTAGATCAGCATGTTTAAGGAGAAACCCAGAGACCTAGAGGAACTCTGGAAGGCTCAGGAAGAGTTTGGATGGAAAGAGAGCTTAGATAAATGAGCTTTCAGTGGTCCCACCCTGAGCCTGTGCTTCTCACTTTCACTCTTCCTTTTTGTAGAATAGCACTTGAAAAGACGATAGGAATCTTTCCAGTTGTCGAGGATGATAATAGCCAAAGGAAGTCTTTCATCGTCCTGGAGAATAAATGAACAGGGAAAATGAATCTCAATAGAAGCTAAATGCAGAGTAAGGAAAAAACTAATTAGAAAATAAAAGGCTTTTGGGTTGTCGTATGCCAAGGATGTTCTATGATCTCTCTGATTACCCTTCCTTCCTTTTGACTTCATACTGCAGGATTGCATCTAAGTGACAAATTGTATTCCCCAAGTAGAATCCATCTATTTGTTTTTCCACAGTTATCACTCTTCCAATTAGTTTGCTCTTGTTTTGGTGTAATATAACACCAAGCTGGACAGTTGTCATTCTCAGTGAGGCAGTTAATGAGTAGCGGTCTTGTCTGATGCTACCGGAACACTCTCGGCATGACACGGTACTGCTGATAGCACTGACGCTTTGCTTTCTTCTTACCTGAGATGGTTCGGTGTAGCACAGTGTTTTTCTTGGCCCTTCTCACAGTTATACCATGTGTTCTTGTGTCCCTTGAAAAAGGTGTGGTGCCCGCCAGCAGATGGGTGAAGTCACACCAAACAGAGCTGTTGTTTAGGCAAAACCAGACAAGCCCTACATGCTGCTGAAATTCAAGAGTGTATGTACAGATGGCTGTATGGGAGAGTATAAATGTTGTGTACATCGAAAATAGATATAAGTAAGAAATCGATACTTTAGCATTTACTAATGAAGATTCCATCTCCTGTTAATCCAAACTGAAACAACATGCTTTCCTCAGCATGTGCTGCAGAAGCAGAAAAGTTGGATTTTCTTTATTGTATTCAATTTCATTAATAAACTGAACAAATGAACAAAATAAACTAAAGGTACTAACATTATACCCATTCGCTAGGGCAGCATGCCCATGGCAGAAGATAGGAAAACGAATCATCAACTCTACAGTCTGTGCACTAATTACTGTTACTGATGTCAACATTATTATTATAGTCATCTTCTGCAGCAGCTGCAGTGCCACTTTGCCTGTCCATCTGCTTCCTTGTTTTGATTACTGCAGTGCAAGTATCATCTTAGGAAGCATAAGAGAGGAGGAGACCCAGCCTTTTTAAAGCACAAGTCCTTTAATAGCAAGGAAGCTACTTGCCTTTTTTTTTTTTTTTTTATAAATCATTCTCTTTTTTTCCATTGGGGGCTTTTTGTGTCTTTCTCTTCACATATAGCACAGCCTGCATTTTTTCTAATTTTGTATTATGATCTCAAACGTGCTTTCCGCCCTTCTGATTACCTGTTACCATAATAGTATTTAGTAGCGTTGTATCATATTGTATCCAAAAATCTAGTTTTAAAACCACTAACTCTGTTTAAAAAAAAAAAAAAAAAAAGAGGAAACAAACCAAAAAATCTGACATGGAGAAACTGAGGCACAGAACTTGTAAAATTTATACATACTGTAGTTTGGCAGGAGGGCAATGACAACACCCACATCTTTTCTATGCTATGGTTTCTCTTACAGAATTCACTTCCAAATTTTTCCACCATTAGGTGTGGCCAAGAGTTAAGTGTCATATCCAGGCTTACATAAGTATCATGGAAGAATCTGGAGATTAAATTTACAGTGCACTTTTTCCACTCCTTCCCTTTGCAGCTCTAGATTTTGGTATTTTTCCTGTGCTACAATAAGAAATGAATGCAATTTTGGGAAGAAATTGTGCACTCATAGTACATAGTAAAAACTGTTACATTTCATACTGGTAAGGAAATATAGATTCATTATTCATCGGTAAATATTAAAATTAGGAATTTAATTTCCAAGAAAGTTTTCTGAGATATTTAAAGGAGAAATAAATTTCTTTTAAGACTGAATGGACATTTTTGTGGTTTTATCTAAGAAAAAAGGCCTTTAATGACTGGATTTTAGTTGAGGAGCAAGGCTAAAAGAATTCAGAATTCATTAAGTTCTGACTTCTAGTTTTGTGAAAAATGAATAGAGATTTAATTTTATACATTTTTTAAAAGGTAGGGTTATTGTTTTCATAATGTTGAGGGTAAAAATTAAAAATACAAAAAAGATTTAGATAATGTAAAATTGATATTTTTGTTCACCTAATGACTGGTTATTTGTGTCACTTCTTTCAGTTGCTTAATTCACCTTCAGAGAGCTAATAGGTTACTCCAGTTTATTCTGCTTTATTGCTTCTCTCTCTCAGTGTGTAGTGACTAATCCTGCCTCAGCTGTTGTAATACCTAAACTCCAATTGACTTCAGCGTAAGTCGCAGCAGAACATATCTTTCTGTGACAGCCACCTTCCTAATTAGAGATAAGAATCCCTCTAAGCCCCTTGTAAAAGAGTTGAAAATGATCTCTGATCCTCATCTATTTTGGGTCCTTCACTCCTACATAGGCATCAGCGAACAGTTCTGCAAAGTGAGAAGCAGCCTTAAAAGCAGCAAATCATTTTGTAGGGGGGGCTTGGGGTGGTCAACAGAAAGGGTGAGCTGGGGTCTCTCCCTGGGCAGAGGGGTACCCCTGTGAGAGAACAGACCTGCCCTTGGTCGCCTTGGATCTGCCGATGTCCCGCTTGTTAGCTGCTAAGGCACACCGCAAACCCTGTCATTTATGTAAGCCTCTGGGTGAAGAAGTGAGCTGAGAGTTGTAGGGAGTGTTATTATGTACTTTGTGGAGGGCTCTTATCGTTGCCTCTCCTGATGAATGTTTGGTGAGTAAGCAGGCTATTTTCCTGAGTTGTCAACACTGGCAATATGAGGTGTTAACGATACAGAAGGAAATGTCCTCATCATTACATAAGATAAAGAAAATAAATAGAAAATATAAATGTTTATTGCCCAAAGTGTACTTACGTTTGACCTTCTTATTTATCCTCCGCATCCAAACTTGTTAAAAAATGATGCTGCTTTGAAATTATTCACATCTAACATCACATATTCACATTCAGTTGACCCAATTAAAAAATAATCTCAAGTGGAAAAAATTGAAAAATAATCTAATTACGGCCTTATGTGAGTTCAGAAAATAATATGTTTTTCACCTGTTATTACAAGTATGTGATTTATTTTCCAGTATATTTTTGTAGAAGCAGAATTGGATTACTTGCACATAATTTCTACTGTGATTTCCGTTTGTTATTTAAGCAATAACAAGGTACTTTGTGGAGATCTAAACACAGGTGAATGAGCAGGTTTTGTTCCCCAAAATACCGAAGATGCTCTTTGTTTCAAACCAACAAATTGTCCCGCTGAATTCAGTTGCAAGATTTTTGAGTCCTCTCTTAAAAAAACAAAAACTCTTACCAGTTAAAAGTCCTGATTCTAGTTTTGGATGGATCAGTGTGTCCAGGCAGCCATCCTAAAAGTAATTTGGTTCTAACTGAAAGGAGAGGGTCAGAGCCTGTGCAATGGTTTTCTAATGACACTGCATTTTCTCTAGAACTTTAATGCCGTTTCTGTGACAGAAATATGCAGCTGTAAATAAAAGGGATGGCGTGGAGGTTGCATGGGTCAGTTGGTTAGAGAGACCTTTGCTCTTTTTCACTTCTGGTCTGGTGGGGTTTGTGCAAACTGCAGTTCGGTGATGATTGAAAATTATGAAGTCAGTTGGTTTTCAGTCAGCTTACTATTCGAAAAGAAATGCATTTACCAGAAGTGCCGCCTTTTATCATCGATCTTGTCAATCTTAACCTGAACAGCTACAGGCTGAGTGGACGAGGTAACGAACTGCCCTTTCATCCTTGGATGGGGTATGTAGTAGTCAAGGTGAAAGCGTAGTTCGTATCGCTGCTGTACATACTAAATCAGTTCTCTGGATGGAAGAAAGCTGTCAGGTCCCTTGGGTAGTTACTGGCTTTTGGAAACACTAAGTTCATTTACTTCCAGTTGATGCATATCTTGCAGGAATATGGGA